TGGTGCAACCAAGATTAAAAAAAAAAAAAAAAAAAAAATGTCATCATCCAAACTCGACAAGGACATTCAGATTATTCTTGAATTAGTCTTCGATAGGGCTGGGTTTTTTTCCGCAGGGCCGCGGTTCCGCACCGAAACCGCCCACAGAATCACCAACGGGTCAGACCTTGATGGCTTCAGGCTGGAGCATACCAGCTTGCATGCTGAAAACCGTAGCACAACGGGCGGTAAACAGTTGTTAGACTTTTTTTTTTTTTTTTGGTTTCCTGTCCGGTATTAGGAGTTTCGTCCCAACTAATCCAGATCCGACCCGCGTCACGCACCTGAAAATGATGGGTGAGTCTTCCAGCGGAAACTGCTGCGTATACAAGATCTCAAACTCAAGATTTTACTTAAACTGAAACAAACCGTTTACCACTTAATCCAATCCCTTGGTACAGTTGTTAGGCTTTGAAACTGCAAAACCGCGTAATAATCTTATAAAACCGACACCCATTGAATATTTATTTTCAATTGTTGCCGACCGTACCGTTCAGCTTTTGGGAAGCTTCATCGCCTCTTGCAATTTCGTTCCACTTCTGGGAAAATTTATTAATTCCTCCAATTTTGTTCTCCTTTCAAGATTTTCGCCATAAAAATGCAGAATGAAACTCTAATCGGAAAGAAGGATTTAAAATTGAAATAAAGCTACAGATATACGGGTTAAAACCGATCCGAACCGGTGACATTGGGAAAAAAAATATGATTAAACCGATAAAAACCACTCTATTTTGGTTCGGTTCGCGCTTATTAAAATAAATAATTAAAAAATCGATTACTTATTGAAAATGATCGATTTGTTCACCGACCTGCCCGACGCCCACCACTAGTTTTCGATATTAGTCTCTCTGTATCCGGATCTGCGGTTTCAATGTATATCTTATTAATTTAGAATTGAATCGTATGAAATTTTATTAAAAAATTTTTTTTAATAATTATTTTTTTATTTATAAAATTTAAATTTAAAATTTTAATTTAAAAAATTTAAATCTTTTATCGCGGAAGAACAAGTTATTAATCAGATTATTTTTGAATTAGTATTCATGTATTTTTAGACTAAAAAAAACGTTGAAAAATAAAAATTCTCACCTATATATGGCCAGGTTCATCCCCTCTGGCCCTTTTTCCTTAAGGATATTTATCGGTTGGCATACTCCATAAAATATATATATATTTAAAATTTTAATTTTAAAATTCTATCAAAAAATTTTAATTTGAAAAAATAAAAATAAGAAC